CTCTAAATAACTCATCTGCCCAATTCATAAGATAATTCTTGTCGCATCCCTTCAAAATTTGTAACCAAAATATCATTATTCCTTATCTCCATATGCAACAAAACATTGAACCTATTAGAGTAATGATCACTTGCACCCAGATGTTCCCCAGTTTCCACCCTCTCGATCATTTCTTTATTTGAGGGTAACAATAAATCTAAAATAGTATTGTTTCTAGTAAGTTCCTTGACTAATTGGTGAAGAAAGGTATTTTGAACAATTTCCTAAAACCTTTCACCTTCATGGTTTGACTCTAGTATTTCCCAATCTGTATACCTGAAATTAAAATCGCCCATAGTTATGACTTCATTAACAGCTAAAGTCTGACCATTTTACAGTGCAATGCTATCAAAGATAATTTTGTAGCTGGTGATATATAAAACCTTTTCAGAAAATGTACATGCAGCGAGACTATTAATTGGTGTAAAGCAAAGGTTACAGAATTTCAAAGAAGAGAGCCTTCAGTTTCTCCATGAGAGCAGAAAAACTAACATAGCAGACAATATAGGACAGTAATGGCTTCAAAACCATATCATAATCTAATCAGGAGCAATGTCTGTACCTGTAAAGCGAGGAGTATGGTTGTAAAGGAGAATCCATCATTCCAAAGAGCCATTGCAAAGATGTTGGGCATATCTCCTGGTACTGTTAACAAGGTGGTAAACAAAGATTTGAAGTAGATAAATGCTCAAAAGTTCATGAACTTCTAGTCACATCTTGAAATTAGCTATTTTTATGAAGAAAAAAATGGCTGAAAAATTGGAATTACTATCTCATTTGAGCATAAACTTGTAAATTTCCCTTATATAACTTCATTGGATTTTTATGAATTTGGTCTGCTTAAATATGATCTTGATAGTCAATTGTGATGTATGTGAAAAGTTTGTCATGGTGTGTGGTCTGTGATTGCCTTGCCATCCTTTGCAGTTCAAAGCTTGTCTCTTTCAGACTTGTGGTGTTGAGCAATAGTATGTAATAATTGTCATCAGTTTGAGCATAAACGTAAATGAATGAAGTAGTTCCAGGAGCAGCATAGGATTTAGAACATTGTTCTTATAAAGTGCAATTAATTTCGATATTAAGTTTTTATGAACAAAAAAAAAATGTGATAAGAACTAAAAGCAAAAGGAGAGTCAGAAGACTAAGAAGGGAAGATAGAGGACTGTCACAAAAGTAGTTATAAATCTGTAATGATAAAAAGGAAAACTAGGGAAGAAAGGACAGAGAAAGAAAATAAACAGAAGAGAATTATGATAATCATGAAAATAAGAGTACCATAGAGAAAGTGGATAAAAGAAACAAAGAACTTGAAATATGATGAAGATAAATTTTGAGTGGAGGGATAGAAGACTGGGGACAGAAAGAGAAAGTTAAGTCTATGATGGAAAGCTGATGAAACTCCATAGAAAAGAAAGAATCAGTATATGTAATAAGAAATGGATAATTTAAAGATGTAAAAAATAGACAAATAAAAATAATAAAAGGAGAAAAAAGTGAAAAAGAAAATTGGGTTAAAATAGACAAAGTATGATAAAAGTTAGTGTCAACAGTAGAAATGGGTAGGAGATTTTTGAAAAAGGGAAAATATGTAAGATGGAGAAATGAATAAAAGTGAAGAAACTTAAAGATAGAAAGTAAAAAAAGAAAACTGAGAAAAAGTAGAAATAGACTTTAGAAACAGAGACAAGATTGATCAATGGAGCAAGCTAAAAATAGAAAACTAGAAATTTGTAAATATACTTTTGAGAGTAATGTATTTATTAGATTGCTAAAAATATTCAAGAATTCACAAATAAAGTTATTGTATATTGTAACAAAAGTACAATTAACTTGGTATGCTTCTCACCTGAGTTCTCTCATAAAATATAGAACTAAGTCACAGAAATTCATGGACTGGTAGACTGAAAAAATGGGTGTGTATAGTTAAGAGGAAGTAGGAAGTAACAGACAAAGTATGCAAAGGTGTGATGTTTGTGAAGAATTGAAAATGGTTATAAAATAGTTCTTAATAATCTTGTATAGAAATATAAAATGATAATAATGCTTTCTTTTTAGTAAAAAAGTTAAATAACAGTTACTGATCCTGGGAAACCACATCTGCTGTTCCAGTGAAATGTACTGATAATGATTTACTAGCATGATTAAAGGCTAAGAATCACTTGAATTTGAATAAATAAATATAATTATACCATAAATACTTCACATTAGTTACAATAAACATTACAAGTTAAGCACTCAAATTGTTCTCTCCAATGCTTATAACTTAGTAGAAAAAAAAGGTCTAATTATTTACAGCCATTTGGGGTGTTTTCTAAATTATAGTTGATGTTAAAATGGTTGACAGTAAGAAAACTAGAATTCATCATAATATTATATGTATATTTTGTAGTTAAATATTAATTTCTTTTTTGATGTAGAGGACTATAAAAGCTTTCACGTTATTGCTAGAATTATTAAATGTTGGAGGTATGTAGGTATCTGCTAACTAATTCTTTCAACAGGGCAGTGAAAGACTGTAGTTATGTCATCCACATAGCATCACCAGTTCCCAGTTCACCACCTGTTAATGAGGATGACATCTTGCAACCTATTGTTGAAGGTACCAAGCGAGTCCTTCAGGCTTGTGCTGATGCTGGAACAATTAAACGAGTTGTGCTTACGAGTTCGACATTTGCCATTCATGGTATGTAAGCCACTCTTGCTGGTATGGGAGTTTTAACAAACATTTATTATTTTAATACACTGAAAAACAAAATAAGTATAGAATAAAATTACTGATAAAAATACTCTATTTTTAAAAACATTATGTAACATTTTAGTAGAAAATTGTGAAGATTTTGCCAATACTTTTATAAAATGATTTCAAATAAGTGTTTTTATAGATCAATCAGTTTAAGTAAATTATATTTAAAGCTGATTTCTATACTTATATGGTCCAAAATAAATTTCTAAATTCAACTATCAGTTTCCTTTCAAAATTCAAAATAAATAACTAAATAAACAAGTTATTATTTTTTCAAGTTCTAAGTCTATTGCAAGGGTAAACAAAAAACAGTTGTGACTTTTGAAATTTAAAAATGGAATAATCTGAAACATAAAATCTTCAGTGTTATTGAAGAATAAATGAATTATAGTGTTGCTTATCCTTTAAATATATCTACAAATTGGTTATTTGTGGTGAGTAAAGGACAATTCAAACATCATACAAAAACACACAAACTTGTTTGTTCTATCCAGACCTCAAGAAAATGTTTAAATTGACTAAAAGCAATTATCAGCTCTTTGCACAAGAAATTTTCTAAGTAAACAAGAAATAATTATTTGTTAATCACAAAACTATAAGAAATGTCTGAATAAACAGTTATTGACTGTCACAAAACATCAAAGAAATTTAAAAGTAAAAAAATAAACAATCATAAGATCTTTCAAACAAGAAAGGATTCATGCCAGTAAGCTCAACACAATTACCATCTTTTTTTTTAAAGATGTTAAAGGAAGACATGTTGGAAAGTCTGAAAACAAGGTGCTCCAGAGTTTTTTTTGTTCTTTTTTTGAGTGCCAAGGCCTCTTATGACTAGTGGAGCACTTTAAATGTTGATTCACAATCAGTGATTCTTAGGTAGATTTTATCTGGTGGTGCCCACCTCCTCTCCAGGTAGCCATCCCTAATTTAGCAATGAAAGGCTAGAGGGAATGTAGCTAATCAAAACCACCCACCTCCAACTTTTGGGTTACTTTTATACCAACAAATAGTGGGATTGAATGTCATATTGTAATGACGCCATGGCTGAAAGAGCAAGCACTTTTGGCATTGGGGATTCAAACCTTCAGCATGCAGATTGCAAGCAAGTGCTTTAACTACCAGATTGTGCTAAGTGACAGAAATATTTACAAATTAATAACAGGTTAGCAACGAAAAATGGAAAATTTAGAAGTATCTAATTAAAATTAAATTTTCCAAGACAAGAAGGATATATTTTAACTAAACAAAGAACAATATCTGACATACAAATCAGGGCTGTACACAGAATGTTTAAAAGGATGTGTGCATATGTGTGTGAAAATCTAATTTAACAATATTGACCTTCAAAAAAAAAAATTTTTGGCTCTTTTTAAGCCTACAGAATATACCTAAGTGAGGGAAAAAAATAGTTGTCAGCATATCAAAAAATTTGTCAGTTAACAATAAGTAATAGGTGTATCTTCAAAATCTCAAAGAGCTGTAATAGTAACAATAAAAAAGCTGTTTCAAAACCCCAAAGAACTGTTATGATGAACAAAAAACCAGTTATAAAGTCTCCCAAAACAAAAAGAGTGATTAAATCAAACATTTTATTAATCTTTCAAACTTCAAAGAAAATGTCTTTATTTACAACACAGTTTTGTGATAATAATATATCTCCATAATTTCATTATAGTGAACAGTTACACTTATTTCAAATACCATAAACTTCTAGATTATTACCTCCTTTATAAATATACAAATATTATTCCTTCCAAAATAGATACTAACCTCAGCATAAAATAATAAATTTTAGCGATTCCTAAACCTATATTAATTTCTTAGGTAAGTATAACTTAAATATTGTCATTAAAACAACAACTAACATAATCAATAAGCAGTCATTTCCTCCTCTAAAAAAAAAGGTCTAAGTAGACAAGACATAATTATTAAATTCTAAAGAAAACTTTTGGAAATATAAAAGTAAACAAGGAATAGTTTTTTTTCTTCCAAAATATAAACTAAATGTCTAACTTAAAAAAAGAAAAGAAAAGCACTATTGTCAGCTGTTTTTGAAGGAAACTGTTAATTTCATTGACAGGGTTAAGAAATTTTATTAACTGAAACCTTGAAGTCTATAGTTTTTTCTTAATGGAATATTTGTTAAAGTGTTTATATTTGTAATTAACCAACCTATTGATGAAGTGTTTTTTGTGGTACGTTATTGAAGATACTCTGTTTTAATATATTTTCCTGTAGGTGAAACTACTTTAGAAGAAGACAAGGTGTACAATGAATCTGATTGGACTGACACTGAGTCAACCACTCTTGATTCTTACAGCAAAAGTAAAACATTAGGAGAGAAAGGAGCATGGGAGTTTATTAAGGAGCTTCCAGGTTGGATGAGCTGATAAGACTATTCTTTTTCAAATTAATTCACAATTCTATTTGAATATTGTTTATAGAATTTTATTAATTATATGTTCGGTTTTGTTTTTGCAACATTCTTCCTAACGAGCTTCTACTAGTTCAATAGACACATGCCATGCAAAGTTCTTTTTAAACAGTATGAAAATTTTTAATTTTAAGGTTTAATTTTAGACTTTTCAATCAACCTGTAAATAAAACACGTTTTACAGAAATTGTTTTACTGGAATTGAAAGACAGTCCTTATTCACTTCTGTTAATTTTAAGAGTTAGAAATATGGTTTATGTGTATTTTCAAACTTTGTTAAACAAAGTCTGATTTAATAATTTTTTATTTTATGAAGTTAATACAAAATTCTAGTTTTCAAAGGTTTAGTATAATTTCTGTGATAATAAATTGTTTGTTAATAATTTTTATTGGGCTAAAATATTTAGTTTCCTCTTATAAAACTTTTTTAGCTTCTTATTGCCCAAACTGTACTTCTTTTTGTCAGTATAGAAGTAAATTTGACAAAACATGTACTTGGTAGTGATGATTTTTTTTTTTTTTCTCTTATACAGATGACAAGAAATTTGAATTGGCTGTGATTAATCCAGGTCTTGTCTTAGGCCCTGTGTTATCCTCTACAGTTAGTAGCAGTAATGAGGTGATAGTTGTTTTTGATAAATAAATAAATAGTATAATTTGTTCAATGTCAGTCATTGAAAACATGGAAAAAGTGTAGAAATTGTTTTAAAAGATATTGAAATATGTTATAAAACCATAAGAAAAAATTGATTTTTAACCTCTGATGTAAAAATATTGTTATTCTTCTGTTTATAAAATAGTTTTAATTAACAAAATTACTTCGTTGATGTATATCAAAAATTTTTTGTAACATGTCCATTTAGCACTTTGGAACTTTTGGATGGATATACAGACATACGTATATTTTAACGTAGTTGGAAATATTCAATAACTTTTTGCTGTTATTTATCATAGCTATTTTATAAAGTATTCTGAGAAGAACTGTGTTTCAAATACCACTAAACAGGATAAATATGTAAATATTGTTCTTCTCAGAATAGTTTATAAAAACTAAAATAATTAAGACAAAAAGTCATTGAATATTTTCAGCTTCATTAGAATATTTGTGAAATTATCAGTGTTAAAAGTGTTATGTTATAATACTGTTAAAAGTCCACAACTGAAGATAGTTATGAAATATCTTGATATCAAGAAAAAAAAAATAGAAAAATATTCTCAAAGGGTGAGATAATAAATTATAAAATTAAGATATGAAACTAAAATTAGGGAAACATGCATTCATCTGTGAGTAAAATAAGAACACAGTTATACATTTTACCTGTAGCAATTATTATTAAAAGTTTGTTTGTCTTGATATTTCTGTAACAGAAAACAAACTAAATTTTTGACCTTCAAATTCACATGGAGCCACAATTTTGAGACAGTTTTCTGGGAAATAACAAAATTCTAAAAATCTGAAAAATTAGGTTCTATAAAAAGGTTCAAGCAATATTTGAGTGAAAGTTCTCAGATACTTCTTTCTAAGGATTTGGGTATGCCGGATCCATTTCTGCTGTTTGCTAAATTGTAACTGTCAAGCATAACCTTTGAAAAGTAGAAAAACAAAATGACCACCAGAAAACAGTATGACACCCCATTTTGTACATTATTGTTATTGTAAAACATTTAAAACACTGTTTTCCCCATGATTTTGGAGTGATGAATCTAAATTTAACCCCTTTCATGGCTTGCCTGAGATAACTCAGGCACCATCCATGTTTCAAAAAAAATACTTGCCCATATTAATTTACTTGCATATGATCATGTATTACATTTAGCATTCACTAGGTGGCATTGGAAATACTGTTTATGCTCATCTCTATCTGATTTATTCTGAATTATATTGTTGAGGCAGCAGAAGTGACACTGGTGTCACGTGATGAATTTTTCAAATGATCATGAATGATCAAGGAGGCCCGAGTGTGTTCAGGACACCCCCTTCGTTGGTATATAAGCCTGGCAGAGAAGCCAGTGATAGATAGATAATTAAAGAAGCAAACAGTAGTGATGGTAATATAA